AGACCTGATTCCTGGCCCTCATGTTTTGGACATAGAAAGCCCTGTCCCAATCCTGACCATGCAAAGGACCACCTCAAAGAGCATGTCAAATGAACTCAAGTCGAGGTGTCACAGACTCAATAGATGGCAGGAAGCAATAGATTTCAGTGCAAACAATGGAAAAATTGAAAATAAGCCTGAACGGAGTGGGCTCCGGGCCAGGTTCGGGCTGGAATTGACCAGACCATTTTGACACCTTTAATAGACTTGGGGTCAGAAAAAGGTGTGTACTCAATAATAAGCAACGAAAGCTTAACAAGTGAAAAGAAGCCAACTCTCAAACAAGATGGTCTATGCACTCCCAAGAAGAAAATTGAGGGGAAAATTCTGCATTTATGTTGCACAAATTAGCAGTGTAATACAATGATCCAAAGCGAAAAGGCGATAAGTTATCCTATGACAGTGATCCAGATAACAAGACCAAAACTACAATAGCACATTGGTAAGAAAATCCCAAAGCTGCAGAAGCACGACTCAAAAATTTTATGGCGATTGAAGAACCATGCAGTTACCTCTTGCGTACTGCAAGAAATGTCTGTCAGGCCTCAAAATCTTGTCCCTTATTACAGGATGGCGGCAGCCTCTGAATGCTGCAAAGCTCGCATGAGTATAAACAAATAATTTAATAAAGCCTTCCCCGGCAATTGGAAGATCCACATAGGCAAGGACATCCTTCTCCAGGCAATAGCAAGTAGCGGAAGTCATATGTCAATTCTTCACCTACAGCTATCTGCTTATAGAGGACACGATTAGACGACAACCCGAGGGAAGGCATGACTCGTATCAATGAAGCATAACAAAAGCATTCTTAAAGCAGTTACATCTTGCGTCCCAGTGATAAGGGACATAACATAGCGTATGTCGGGTAATCGGAGGTGAAGATCAAATCAGATTTTTAGTAGATTTTGATTAAAGTTGATGAATATATAGTTAAAAAGTTGTGACTCCTGTGAAATATGTGGTCGAAATTAATTATTGACTTTGAGATGATTAAAATCTTGATTTTAGTTGCCACCAGACAGGGGCTATATAAAATAAACAAGATTTCACCTCTTTTTTATTTCTTAATATCATCCATTTATATTCAACCCATCCCCACCAAACATACTAATGCTCAAGGAAAAGTAGGATTGCGCTTACATCTCGAATGGCGTAGAGGCCAATGTGTGCAAGATGACTATCCATGCTTTCAACAAGAACTTGGTAATTCACGAGATTTGGCGAGCAACTAAGAGGGGGAAAAAAAAGAAAATAGAGGAGAATTAAATTAACATTATAGAATATGGTAAGAGGTATTGAAAAATACAAATAATTATTATGTCTCAAATTAAAAGGAGATTTGTAAAAACATATCGATTACCACTCTTTTCTATAGGTCAGTTAATCACAAGATATCATCCATTTCTTAGTTTTGAAATAAGGAGACACAAGCACAATTAATTGCTTTTGTTGTTCTTTGGAGGGAGGTTTACTCTCCATCTTGTGTTTGTTTGTAATCTAACAGCTTGAACCAAAATACCCCAAGTTTTGTATTTACATATAAATGTTTTCATCATTACCGCATAAACGAATATTAAAGAGTTGATTCTTATGTCTCCATCTTAAAAATACAGAAACCAACAGAAGCATAATTTGTCAACCTGATAAACCATTGCATTTTCTTCTTCTAAAAAAAATTTAATATGCTCCTCTCATTATCAAATCTTGACCAATGAAACAGCCTCATCTGGCCCATTATGTACATGACCAGGCAAAAATGGAACAAGTGGCACCACTATTCCTTCGAAAACTACAAGGACAGCAACCAAAATTGATTACTCTTCAGGATTGTCATAGTGACACTAGGGTATACCATGAAATAGGATACTGTATGATTCAGAGTTCAAAGCATATTTTTAGGATAATCAAAAAAATTCCTTTGAAAACGTCTAAACAAAGTTTATCTCTTCAAATAGGAAATGCTCACAGATAATGTGGAGCAAAGGCAAAGTCACACAGAAATATTGGTGCAGATTGAGCCAAAAAATAAATAAATAAATAAATAAATAAAAAACACCCTCACCTGTGATTAATGAAACGTGAAATGTTTCCATAGTTTGTCGCATCAATAACATATGGAACTTGGCCTTCTATCAATCTGCTCACGTCATCAATGTGAGCATTGATCTCATAAAAATACCTGCAACTTTCGTTGTCATACCTGCTTTTGCAAACACAAAAAATACCAAAACATATAAGGACCAAGAATTAAAAACAATCAATCCAGAACATAAAGTTGGAGCAGTAAAGGTCTAGTGGATAGGACGGTCAAACCTATTGAGTCTCTCGTTTGCTTCTTGCTCATCTATGACCTCTCCAATATACTCACACACAAAGGAGCCACGAAGTATTGCTTCTCTCGCCCTTACTGCCCAACCCTGTGAGTCAACATACAAATAAATGATAATACTCCAGCAAATTCAAAATAGATGGTCAGTCACCTTTTTCTCTGTTTTGAATATTTCCAACTTCACTTGCACTCCATTTTGCAAAACCCTATTCTGACAAGTTTTACTGCAGCAGCATCTCTGATTGCATTCATAAATTAGGTAGCCCTCCTAACAATTTAGGGACAAGCATTTCTATTTAATAGAGATCATAATTACAGCAAGAAGAACAAGGAGGACAGATCTATTCATGAAGCAAAAATAAACGCGTATTTGACTCATATAGATGGCACCATCAACAGAAAACATTGGAGCATACAACCTATTGATTAATTGATCCATCATACCACTTAACAATACTATTAAGCAGGAATTAACTATACAGTAAGCATTAGGATTATGAAATTCCATTCAATAGAATGCATCTAATGTTGGGATGCCATCAAGCATTTCTTCACAAGGAAAATATTACTTGGTTAATATATTTTTTTCATATAATTGCAACCATATTAAAATCTGGTAATGTACTTCATTGAAATCATTCATCTGCCAATAGGAACATTCGAAGCAAAACCCCCCACAACAGTGGTTGACAGGAAATGGTATTCATAAAACCCCTAATGACTTAAAAATCAAAGTCATTCCCTAAACTACATAAGTCCCAAACATTTAAGACCACGTTAGAGTAGTTATTTCCATCTATGATCAACAAAAATACAACTGATAGCATATAAGTTGTAGAACGGAAAAGAAATTTATGATATAGACATGAAAAGATACGTGTACCTCAAGAATAATTCGACCTCTCTCATCATAGGGAAACCTGCCACGCATGGGCTTGCCATATATGTCTTTTGCATCTTCATAATCATTGTCAAAAAGATACACATGGTCGCACATTTCTGATGAGCACCTTGAATATGCACAAGCACACCCCAATTGAGAACTCTACAAACGAACGTGAGGAAGATTAAATACATCTTACTCAAAATGCATTTGCATTCAGTTAGCAGAAAATTGCAAATCCTAATGAGTAGAGATATTACTAGAAAGTCACACCAGCATGTATCTAATATTTAAATACTCTGACACCAAAAACTAATAGTGTGTGTGATTATAAGCATGAAATTTGCATGTAAAGAAAATAAGGTCTAGGCAACTGATTATTAATGAAATGTGTTTGACCATGACCAACTTTTGGAAAACATTTTCTATAGAAAAAAGGTCAATCAAACACTCTAAAAGTTGAAATTTGGGTGGAGAAAAAACATTTTTCATAAAAAATAAAGCCAATCAAATACAACCTAAATAGAAGACAGTATCAGAATATAAGAATATTCCCCGATAAATATTTCAATTTTTTGCATGTGTCTATTTCCATTGAGGAAAATGAATTCTTTTTCAAGCCAAAAAAGATTTCATAGGACAAAAATAAAAAAACACAAAGCTAGTCGGATTTGAGAATTGTAGGACAAGATGCAATAGACACTAACTTATACAGCATCTGCATCATAATATAAGAACAAAAGACCAACAAGTTGCATGAAGATACCTCTGCTTCAAGTATTAGGGATTGATCATGCAATGGTTTCGTGACGTAGGTAAAGCTCTCCCAAGGAAAGGAATATTCAGTAATTTGGCCATCAGACCCATCCGCATTCAAAAGACTTTCGTCCACCACACAAGCTATTGGAACTGATTCCTGTCCAAAACTTATGTCATCACATAAAATAATATTTCTCTCTGCAAGATCCTGGGTGAAATGTCGGGAATCAATGACACAATGAGACTCGTCCATTGTCCACTCATTGGTTAAAAGGTTTGATGCAACAGCATTTCTGGTCTTGACTATATTGTCCGATGAGTGCACCGCCAGAGATGGTAGGGGTGGTCTTTCAATTGGTGTGCACTCTTTGGGACAAATGAAGCTCTCTTTGTGCCATTCCACTGGGATGTTATGCTCACTGCATAGTTTGGCAGCTTTCAGGTATATCCGTTCTGGCAGGATTCCATATTTTGTCTCCAATGAAGCTTGCAGGCTTAGCTTGCAGCAAGCAGAGCGAGCTATTAATAAAATCTCTGAGTTGCTTGGCCGTGGTTCTGTTTTCTTAATTTCAGAAAACAATAGCTTTGCCACAGCTAAACATTGAGTATCGACTAATCTACCGAGATTGGCAGCCTCAGTTGCAGCCTCAGCTGCATTAGAGTTAACCGTAATTTCGGCTGGACTAATTGAAAATGATGCCTGCACACGTTTTTTCAAATTTTGCACACTTCTATTCCTAATCCTATATGATGCTGAATTCAAACCTTTTTTAAATCGAGGACGAGTAAGTCTCCCCGATTTCAATTTCTGTGCATAAAATTGAATTCCCTTTTTTGTCAGGTGAGGACCAACAGAAGTTGGTCCCATATGAGCAGCCTGATGATGGCGTCCAAGATCAGGTAGCAAATCAAACTTTAATCCACAAAACCTGCAAGTATATCTCCGGAGACCAGAATGATTCTCAGAGTTTATATTTTCTACAGGATCTGACATTTTCGGCTCAACTCTTTGCCAAGATCCTTGGTCTTGCTTTGCAGCAGCATTTGACAGCTTTAAGTTGGAAGCATGAACTGAGAGCACATGCAACCATAACTGCTCCGGATTCCCAAAATGGCTAGCACAAGGAATGCACTGCAAAAGCATGCACTGTTCAACAAATTGCACGTGGTGCCTCTCCTGCACATGAGTTTCCAAGACCTTTTTATTAGTAAAAGAATCCAAGCAGATTGCACAAACATAGCCCCTAAAAAGCCATTGTGCCTCTTTTTTATGACTACCCATCCAGTGTGTCCCTAAAGCTTGGTCATCAAGAAACTTATCTGAGCAAATTTTGCACTTTATGACATTTTGACTGTCTTCATCCATATCATTACACACCGGAATAGGATTAGAAACTGATTCCTCAACAGAGGAGGCTTGAATGTTTTGGTTATCTGAAAATCGCCAGAGCTTCTTCAGCCTCTCCTTTTCACTGCGTACCAGCTTCATCAAGAACTCCCCGACCCTAATATCTTTGGAAGCTTCAGAAATGGCCCACTGAAATTGAACTTCCTTTGGAACTGGGTTTCTCAAAGATAGGATACTTTTGAAAAGCCTGTAAAAGAGTTCACAGGCTTGGTGCAAATGCAATTTTTGCTCCCTTGAACAACAATATTTCAGGAGCTCTATAAACACTTCCTTTGATACTATCCTACTCTTGCCATTTCTTGCACGTTTAAGCCAGCTTGGTAGGTGGGTGTCGCAGTATAGTGAATGCCGTATAGGACTTTCTAAGCAAGGTTCACTGCTACTCCCTATGCAGTGAACCATCTCATCACTTTTATTCTCTTCTTGGGGCTGAACAGGCATCTCACCTAAGCTGCTTTCGTTGAGGGATCCTTTTCTCATTAAAGATGGTGGATCTACTTGGGCAGGAGCTTCAACTTTTCCAGCATGTACAATTTTTGTCGGATATTTAATCTCTGAACTCATGAAACTTTCTTCGTGCCTCCTTTTAAGTCTTTTATCAGGAGGATTCATTTCTTTACTACTGTGAGGCCTATGTTTCTTACAGAAAGAAGTTCCAATTAGAGCTCGATGTTTGCATTTAGTACCAAGAACGGTGGTACCTTCACACATTGGCGGGTCAGCAGAAGGCGTTACTTCACCTTTTGCTGAATTCCCAACAAAACGAGAAGCCAAATGCACACAACAATAGACATCCCCCTCGCTGGCATACCTCACACATTGCCTTCCTTTAGATTCAATGAAAGCATCACACTGTCGATTATGACTTCCAGGGTCCAAGGACTTCTGGGTAACATTAACAAGAGTCATCTCCACATCTTTAGACTGAATCACCTCCATATTTCCAGCCTCAACAACAATGTTATCCCATTTGTTAGCTACGCAATCCGAAGACCCTGCCAAAGCAGCATCCGCAGTGGAAATTTCTTGCTTTGGAAGCACAGAACCTAATGATATAGTGTTTACAACATCACGGCCATTAAAGAAACTAGAGTCAATTTCCACAGGAACAGCCTGATGTGAATTCTGAATGTCTACATGTGATGCATGAGTATCAGCACGACGAACTTCAAGCTTGGGCCTCTTTCTGTTAGTTTGAAGCTCCATGGTAGGTGGACTATCATTAATTGGTTGCTCTGAGCCTCCACCAGTGGATATTGGATGCGAGATTGAAAACCATTTCATAACATCATGTTTCCAGCTCTTCCACTCAGAGGCCGGCTCAACTGGTGCTGCTGCATTTGCAAGTGAATTTACCTCATCCCAGATGATAGAATCGGACAATTCCTACATAAGGAATAGGTTAGAGCAGTCATTACTAAATTTCCAAACAATAAACAATTAATTCATTATCATATGTTAAAGGATATATCGGTTGTTTTATCTCATACAAATCCTATTAATAAGAAACTAAAGAGTCTAGTTAAAATATTCCAACACAAATTTCAGCATGTTTCCAACTCCCTTAGGCAAAAGACAAATAAGGAGCACTTGGCTTTTAGCCCAACCAAAAATATTTGTATTCTTCAAACAAACACGAATTAGGAGTGGGTTCCATTATTCAACATCAGGTGAATTAAAACATTTCTGAAAATTTTTGCATCTTTGCCATATCCATGCACTAGTGATTTCAAAATTCTAACTCACAAAAACTTTTGAAATAAATATCACTTCACCAAGAAAGTAAGGGAGGTCAAAAGAATAAGAAAGGCATGCAAAAGATCATGTCTTGCAAGTAGGATGAGTCATATCAGACTAAATGAACGATAACTAAAGACTCTTGATTGTACACACAAGTACCTTCTTTTTAGGTACAAATGCTCACATAAGTCAAAGTTTTATCTTGACAATGTTCAACCATGTCAGAAAATCATAATTTGACGTTCCCACACGCTCGCAACATTCTCCGCCAATATTTGGGTTTGGATGTGCTCCAGGCTGGAAATACTAAAAGGTAGCAATGGACAGTGATGCTCTTCTAAAGCCTAAAATCTCACCCTAAGAACTAAAGGACAAAGAAAGCCACCCCTACCCACAGGAGGAAAAATGTAAAATAAGGTAAAGCATACATAACTGAATATTATGTTTTCTGTAAAACTGGTCATTAATTATTCTATATATCAAGCACAAAGATTTTTCAGGGAACCAATAAGCACAGTACGAAATGAGATGAAGGAATAAATGCATAATTTAAGATTTATAGCATAACATACATCTTTCAGCATTTCAATGCATTCAGCACTACTTGCATCCTGGCATCGATGCACCCAAGACTGCTGAGAATATTGCAGCCAATTTGAACTTAAGCAGTGCTGCAGTATCATCTGCAAAAGATAGAATAAGAATTAATTTAGCATCAGAGTAAAATATCATTTTAAATTTCCCGTTTTGATATAAACTATAAATCTAATAATTTTCAACTTTGAATTTTACATTAGTTTTGAATCTTTGATTAAGTAGATAGCGCTCTCCCACAATGATAACACCAAAAATCTTCTGTCAGAAACCAGAGGAAACCAACCTGCTATGTTTCTATTTGAATAATCAGAAAGTAACATACTTACACAAGCTATACCAAATGACTCAAAATCATTGCCAACATGTTGAAATAAACATGAACAGTCTGTGTGTTATAAACAGCCATAAAAGGCACAAGTGCCTAATCCACTAAAAAGGAAAAAGTAAAAGACAAAGGTGGGTATAAACCCAGCAGTGAACTAAAAATTATAACTTAGCCCTTGTTTGGCACCCATTTTTTAAAATTCATTTTTCCTCGAACTCATTTTGAACCACACATTTTATAGAACACAACTTTTATCAACTTTTCAACCACACATTTCATTAACCTTTATCAAAATTTACTAAAAAACTAATTTTTAGCCAAACCAAACCGGGGACTCAATATGTACCCACAATAATGTTAAAATTTACAATTGTTCTTGTATAGCTGGAAAATTAACTTTCATGGATTTAGTAAATCCTATAACTTGGGGTATCCACAGACTATTTTAGAAACATAAGATAAGATTCGTTCTAAAGGCACACAAGTTTTAATGTCTAAATAGAGGGAAGGATTTACATTTTGAAGTTTCACAAGCATCCTTCCAAGATCAGAATAACCTTTACAGCGGGAAGCTTCCATCGAAAATTCCTTCAAAACCATCACCTCACGAGCAGTCTCTTCCAGACCCTAGAATTGTTTTAGTAAAAACATAGCCAAAACAGAAATGCCTATAAACATGAACAAAAATATAGACATATAAACTTGTTTTTAATGACTTTCAAAAGCAAACCTCGCAATTTAATTGATCAAGAATATTTAGCATTCCAACAGCCAGCTTTTGCATGATGAACCGATGAGCAAGAGTCAAATCTTTGACCGCCTTTGCACCTACTTTGTGTGTCTTATATGCAATGGGCTGCGGAAATTCACTAATTGGACAAACTAGCTGTACATCTGCCCAAGAATAATTTCTTGTGCGAGGAAAGAAGATTACAATATACTGTTTCCTGTCATGAGTTGGTTTTGCTTTCAAAGTCGATAATGGCCAGTCCACTCTTGCACATTTAATTCCTGGTTGCCACTTCCCTCTCCACTATAGCATATAAACAGAAAATTATGTGTGTGAAATAAACTTTCAAAAGATGTTTCCTGGAGAACTAGCATAAGAAACACAATTGAGTATTTTAAGAATCTTCTTGTGATACAAGTATTATAGGCAAGAACCAAAAGACCACTTCGATTTATTTACTAGGGCAAAAGATTTGGCTCCATGCAAGAAATTAATCCATTCTTTGGACTCTGTCTCAGTGTTTATTGTGATGCAAGGACAGAGCAAACAGTAGAGCTTTTGAAGGAATTGTAGACAAAAGTAATTTGTCCATTGGAAGTTTCTTTATTCACCTTAATTAAAGAAAGCTATTTCACTTCTATTATTTTCTTCAACGTATTAATTGGACATGTATATTCTTTGTAAAATTCACGGTAGGTATGATCTTCTTCTCGGAAATACCACATACTCTATTTTGGTCAGCTAGTCAGTTGCTCCCCCCACTGGAAGTTTCTTTATTCACCTTAACTAAAGAAAGCTATTTCACTTCTGTTACTTCATCCACAGATTATGTGGAAATATATTTTTCTACATAAAATTTAAGGTTGGTATGCCCTTCTTCTCGGGAATACCACATACTCTTTTTTGGTCAGCTAGCTAGTCGCTCCCCCATTTGAGCCAACCTGCGAAAGCCTTTACACAATTCTATTTTTCACTCATCTCTAAAACTAGGTCTCCTGGCTCCAAGATGCTGGTCCCCATGCTAATTCTTGAAATTAACACCCCAAAAAATATCAATTAAAAGCAGTCACAACTAGTTACATCTCAGAACTAATTATAGTCAAAATCCACTGGATGATCTTATTATCCTGTCAGTCAACAATAAAGCCAGAGTCATCCCAACTTTATATATTATACACAGAGATTAGGAGGAATTCTTAAAAGGGACAACCAGAAGGTATCAAAATTACAAAAATCAGCATTCAAAAATAAGAAATATGAGGTTTACACCATAATTAACTTGAGGTATAATGTGCTCTCGGAGACTCGAGAAAATTGGCATTTCACAATATGGTAAGATTTAGAGAGAATTTCATCACAAAATTATTGTTTTATTTCAATAAATGTAACAAATTTGATGTTGAGGATTTATGTTGTTTTAGAAGTAGGACTGTTACTATCAATTTAAATAATACATTCAAATATGTACAAGTCCTAGATTAATTAGTGAAAAGATCTTAGTCTTTCTTATTATAGTTGGTGAAAACTTTTGAGTACTGTCATCTATTAATCCATGTGTTAGAGATTTTTTTTTTTTAATTTTAATTTTAATTTTCATTTTTTTGGGCTTTTAACATTTAAAAGACTAAAGTGATCAAGTTTCGAAAATTTTCTTAATTTTTATCTCAAAGTGTGGTGACTTTCAAATTTAGAGAAACCCCACAATTGATTAAAATGGGCAATCATGAGGCAATCCTGCTTCCCCATGACAAATGTTCAGAAAAAAGAAAAGACAGAGCTTTTGCAATGAGAAGACAGCAGCAAACTTTTTAGATGAAAGTAACCACCTTGATTTGCAAAAATTAAAATCAAAAGAAATTGAAAAGGGTTTTTGCATCTATCATATAGACTAATCACTGAGTTTATGTATTTGCAGATGAACTAGAATAAGAAATAGTTGAACCAAAGTTAGAATTAGGAAAAATACAGAGTGATTTTTTTAAATATCAGATGGACTAATCATAGCGTTTATAGATTTTCATTTGAACTAGATAAAGAGATAATTGAACTATGATTTAAGCTTAAAATTCAACCTCGTGTATTCTAAATAAATCAAAGAAATTCTGTTTATTAATCAATCAAAACAAAATAAAATCACTAAGACACTTATTCCCCACGTTCCAGCAACACACATTTTAGAAATTCAGTTTTTTAAGTCATATATTTGCAGGCTATTGTAGAATTACCGTTTCTACCTATATTATATCTGCTCCATTATTAGTGGTGGTCTTAACGAATACTTCCAGTGTTATAAAAATGATTTTTAGTGTCTTATAAACTGAACCACTGCACTCGGTGGAATAGATTCCATTATGTGCATTTCACAAATTTTTCTTAATTCTTAGGACAGTTTGCGGTTTATGTTTGACCAGCCATGTAAATAAATGTATTTAACAGCAAAATATTCTGACATCTATCAGATCCGATATCCCAAAATGGAGACTACTCATCTCTTTCAAAAGTACGTCATTGTACACCTTTGAGCATTACATGCTGAAACATAAACTGGAAGTTGCAAAAAAATGCAAGCGGGGAATACAGAAGCCAAATAAAAAAAAGAAATGTACCTTCACCCACACTGCTACAGGCTCATCTTGTTCTAGGTGGATTTCTGAATGAGATGATTCTCCCTCCTGGTTTTTAGAATGTAGTCCACTTTCAGCTGTATCCACAGCGAACTGGGATTTCTCAGACACAGGGTTTGATCCTCCTAAATCACCTTGTTTGTCTAAGTTATCGTCTGCAAAATTGTAGGAATCAGAAGATAAATTTTGTCGGTCAGCATCAGAGTCATAATAACCATCTCCATTACAGAAGCGTTCTGAAGCAGGCACTCCTTGGAGAATAAACTGATCTCCACCCTTTCTCTCTTCGAGAGGCCTTCCCACATCAAGCATTATGTCGTCTACTTTGAGCTCTGCAGCTTTAACTGGTACGACATCTTCAACGCAGTCTGATTTTCCATCACACTTGAGAGGTGCATTTGATTCCTGTTCGGGGCAATTAGATTCTCCAACACTATTTACCCCAGAACGGGGAATCACTTCCATAACTTAATACTAGAAGTTTTAGAGGCAGGTGATGTTCAAATGTCAGTTAACCCGAAACATATCCACAGCCTAACACGGGGAAATTACAGATGTCAGGGCTCCAACAACTTGCCTTGCCAAAGGATCAAAATAACCCGGGGAACAGCTGAGTGTAGTGAAATCCGGATCTACTTGCCTCCAGTAATTTGCCTTCACCAGTCTAGCCAAAGACGACCTTACTAACAAGTAAAAAATAATATGCATGTACAACAGGAAACTAGTATACATATATTAATATTTGATACATTTAACAAGTTTCTAATATATATATAAATGAAACATTTGATTTATTTAACATGCTTCTTATATTATTATTTATATCATTTCTTGGTTTCGTGAAATTAACCACTTCTCACCTTTCCAATATAAAGATTTATAACTGACGTTCTCGATATCTTATGATCTAGTCACACTCCCAACCAACCTTGAATACAAGTAAATATATTACAGTAAAAATTCCAATAATCTTCAATAAATAATAAGATGTTGAAATTTACCATAAATTAAGCAAATTAAAATCCAAATGATTTTTTTGCAGAATAAAACATAGAAATTAGAAAGGGTTTCATAAAAAACAATTACTTCAATTTTTTCAAAATGAATAAAAGTTAATGTGAAGATCAAATATGCCTATGCCACATATTGTCATTAATAATACTCATTATTCAACTTTTCTCAGCTCATTCCACGACAACTATACGCCGACTAATCGTATCTGCATAAATACATAGACCAAGTATATTATATACAAATTCAAGCCCCAGGGGAAAAAAAAAAAAAAAAAAGGGCTGGAAATCATATTCTCCGTCAAATATTTGCACTGAACACCGCAAGGTCAAAATAGTGGATGATTTCCACCTTTTGCTTCAAAACTTGATGCTTTTAACCCCATCAAAAAGTCACATCTTGCAAAAAATGGCCTCCAATTTGCAGTCAGATCTCCAAATTGTGGGGGGGGGGGGGGGTTGAATTTTTCTAAATTTAAATACAAATAAAATATATAAATTCACTTACATAAATAAATCCGAATTACATAGATTATAGAATCAGAAGAATTAGATGTGATTAAAAGATTTTTCGTCACCGTTGACATGATTTATTTGATTAATATTGCAAAAGGAGGTTTTTATCCCTTTGAAAACGTCAATTTTGAGACAACTACAAGTTCTAATCTGATCAAAAGCATTCAATCGAAAGAGCTAAAAATTGAACCAAGCGCAAATACACAAGCTTGGTTTACTAACTTGAGTTATCCATTTATATCAAATAAAAATATCCCGTAATCTCTTGATGTGCAATTAGGGGTGTCAAATGAGCCGAGCGGCTCGTGGCTTGCCCGCTCGGCTCGCGAAAACGGAGCTCGTGGGCGGCTCGGGCTCGTAAAAACACGAGCCCGAGTGCTAGCCGAGCCCGCGAGCGGCTCGTTTTTAACGAGCCACGAGCCCACGAGCCATTAGCTTCAACAAGCCACAAGCCCAGCTCGTGGACTTGTTTATAAAGTAATCAAAACGGTCACTTTTTTTAAACAATGACCGTTTCAGTCCTTTAATTTTTTTTATTTTTTTCCCTCTTCTTCTTCTGTAAATAGTGGCATTTAGCCACAAAATTTTCTACAATTAACTCTCAACTCTCAATTCTCTTTCTCTCAACTCTCTTGTGTTGTGTTGATAGTTGTGCAATTTTTATATACAATTTATAAAATATCTATTTCTCAGTTCTCACTATATTTATTGAAATTTCATCCAATTTTCATTTATCACTACATTTATACAATTATTCTTTTACTAATGATTACTTATTACAATTTATATTTTGTATGTATGACCTAACCTTAAGATGAAATAAAGATGATATTCATGATGACCATCATGGACACGTGTCTGATAGCATTATCAGTTTTGTATTAATGATCATCGTGAATGCATGACATGTGATACTCTATATTTTGTATGTATGACCTAACCTTAAGATGAAATAAAGATGATATTCATGATGACCATCATGGACACGTGTCTGATAGCATTATCAGTTTTGTATTGCATGTATGATATACACTTGAGGTCAAAGAAAGACGATAATCACGATGACTATCGTGGGCATGTGTCATATCGCATTTTACGTATTGTCTGTATGACTCATGCTTGAAGTGAAATAAAGACAATAATAATGATGACGATCGTGAACATTTGACGTATTATACTGCACTTTGTATGTATGAATCATGCATGAGGTGAAATAAAGGCGATAATCAAGATGATCGTCATGGACGCATGTTGTATTGCATTTTATTTTGTATCATTGTTCATCCCATACTTGAGGTGAAAGAAAGACGATAATCAAGATGACGATCATGGACGTGTGCCAATATTGGACTTTATTTTATATAGTATGTATGATCCACGTCTGAGGTGAAATATCATGACTACCATCGTAAATGCGTGTTGTATTGCATTTTATTTTTTATTGTATGTATGACCCCACACATGAGGTGAAAGAAAGACAATAATCAGGATGACATCATGGATGCATTTCATATCACATTTATTTATTTTGTATCGTATGTACGATCAACACTTGAGGTGAACGAAAGACGATGATCACGATAACGATGCTGGACGTCTCATATTGTACTTTATTTTTTTCATAGGTCTAACCCATGCTTCCAATGAAATAAAGATAATAATCGTGATGACGATCATGAACAAGTGTCATATTGTACTTTGCTTTGTTTGTATGATCCATGCCTGAGGTGAAATAAAGACGATAATCACGACAATAATCGTGGACAAGTGTCATACTGCATTTTATTTTGTATCGTATTTATGAACCCACATTTGAGGTGAACACGATAAGCATGATGGCGATCGTAGACGTGTCATATTGCACTTTATTTTATATAGTATGTATAATCCACTTGCAAGATGATATAAAAAGGATAATCACAATAACGATCGTGGACAAGTGTCGTATTGCACTTTATGTTGGAAAGTAAAATTATTCAATATAATTGATGTTATTTCCAATTTAGGTAACATTTACATGGCATTAAAAGATGGATACAAGGTCACATGATCTTTTTAATTGGACATATTAAGTGTTGTCATCTAAACTGATGTTTTTTCACCATTGTAGCTGATAGCATTATTCTATTTTGCATCGTATATATGACCCATGTTTGAGGTAAAATAATTATGCATACTTCATTTTGTGATGTATATATAGTAGTTCTCCCTTTTTTTGCGTCGGAGTTAAAATGAAATAAAGATAATAATCGTGATGACGATCATGAACAAGTGTCATATTGTACTTTGTTTTGTTTGTATGATCCATGCCTGAGGTGAAATAAAGATGATAATCACGACAACAATCGTGGACACGTGTCATATTGCACTTTATTTTATATAGTATGTATAATCCACTTGCAAGATGATATAAAAAGGATAATCACAATAACGATCGTGGACAAGTGTCGTATTGCACTTTATGTTGGAAAGTAAAATTATTCAATATAATTGATGTTATTTCCAATTTAGGTAACATTTACATGGCATTAAAAGATGGATACAAGGTCACCTGATCTTTTTAATTGGACATATTAAGTGTTGTCATCTAAACTGATGTTTTTTCACCATTGTAGCTGATAGCATTATTCTATTTTGCATCGTATATATGACCCATGTTTGAGGTAAAATAATTATGCATACTTCATTTTGTGATGTATATATAGTAGTTCTCCCTTTTTTTGCGTCGGAGTTAGACTTTGATTGATTAAATATTACATGTGGAGTTCTAAAAGTATTGGAAAACTTATCAATTGGAATGCAATTGTATAATTTATACTGTAATGTATAATTACTTAATATCAAATCGAAAAATGTTGTGACATGAATGCAAACTACATATAGAAAGTTATCATAAGAATATATTGCCTGGAAATGGTGAGGCCAATGATCACTAGACTATTACTAGTAGATGGTTACTTGTATTTGCAGCTCGTAGTTGAATGTCATCTATCAACCATAGTTTGTTGTAGAGAGAATCATAATAGAGTTTTGCTATTTTATCAGGATAGGTTCACAAAACCCCTACTGACGCTCACACCGGATGGGTCCCACCCACCTGTATAAAAACCAATTTAGGTAACATTTACATGGCATTAAAAGATGGATACAAGGTCACCTGATCTTTTTAATTGGACATATTAAGTGTTGTCATCTAAACTGATGTTTTTTCACCATTGTAGCTGATAGCATTATTCTATTTTGCATCGTATATATGACCCATGTTTGAGGTAAAATAATTATGCATACTTCATTTTGTGATGTATATATAGTAGTTCTCCCTTTTTTTGCGTCGGAGTTAGACTTTGATTGATTAAATATTACATGTGGAGTTCTAAAAGTATTGGAAAACTTATCAATTGGAATGCAATTGTATAATTTATACTGTAATGTATAATTACTTAATATCAAATCGAAAAATGTTGTGACATGAATGCAAACTACATATAGAAAGTTATCATAAGAATATATTGCCTGGAAATGGTGAGGCCAATGATCACTAGACTATTACTAGTAGATGGTTACTTGTATTTGCAGCTCGTAGTTGAATGTCATCTATCAACCATAGTTTGTTGTAGAGAGAATCATAGTAGAGTTTTGCTATTTTATCAGGATAGGTTCACAAAACCCCTACTGACGCTCACACCGGATGGGTCCCACCCACCTGTATAAAAAATTATCCAAAAAAACCCACCCAACCCTTGTTGTGAGTAGTCTGTAGGGGTATCCTGCACACATGGAACCCACTTGTATAAAAAATTACCAAAGAAACCCACTCATCCCTTGTTGTGAGTAGTCTATAGGGGTACCTTGTACTCTAAGCTCAATTCATCATAATAACTAGAGGATGACAAATTGTTGTTAATGGTCTATTGAGGTGAGCAACAGTCCAGCATTTTTAAAATAATATTGAAATTAAAAAAAATTATTACTTTAAAGAAGTTATTAATTTTTTAATAACTAAATATTATCAATAAATTATGTGAATTCATTTATAAGCAACGCCATAAAATATATGTTGGATGAAAATCTCTTGCGCTTTCTTAGTGAAATTGGATTAGCTCACTAATGAAGAGTTATTCAATGGAGCCATGCTTCTTGTACAGAAAAAAAGCTTACAGAAGGCTTACTAAATACACACAATGGAGGGTGGATGGGGGTTTTTGATAATATTTTATTCATATGGGGTCCACCTCTATGTTTAGTATCTATAATAGTTTTGTAAAGGGTCATTCGGTACAAATGGAAAATTCCTGTTCAATGGGTACTAAAAATAAAAAAATAAAAAAAAATAAATCTTTCAAGTATTCTAACCTCAAATATTTACTTTCTATATATTGAAAAAATAATAATAACTTTCTGTAGAAAATTCGTAAACGTACGGAATCGTTGTACAAATAATAAGATTTGTGAGTTAAAAGTATCATTCCCATGAGGAATAAGGTCTAATTTGTAATTCCTTAGCTGCTATTAAATTCGAAGCGTGGTGACACCAAAAGGGTTGTGATTTTGTTGTTACTTATTCTAATTATACTCTAAGAAAG